GCTCTTAGGAGTTCGGAGCCGTTCTGTTCTGTCCCGTAGGGTCCCTGTGCGTCAGAATCCACGCGATGGCTGCGAGGTTTTACTCCTGGTGAAACAGCCCTGTTGGTTAAACACTCATGTGCTAGCTAATGGGTTAGTGGTTTGAACCCAGCAGCGGCTCCACGGGAGAAGAGATGAAGTTGTCCACTCCTAATCTTGTTTGGTGCCGTCAAGTCGTTTCCGACTCGGAGTGACTCTATTATACATGAGAGAAGGAAGCTCGGTCCTCCGCCAACCTCACGGTGGTTTGTTAGGTTTGAGCCCATCGCTGCTAGAAGGGTTGCAGCCTGGGAAACCTCTGCCCTTACCCTTAGAGGGGTACTGAGTCCGGCAGAATGGTGGTGAGGTCAAGAGCCTCTGGTAGAGTCATACCGTCGACCTCGTGGTTCAAACTGACCTCGCGGTCCAGTGTTTTGTTCCACAGAGCCGAATCTACTGCCATTTAAAAGTGAAGATGCAGACCCCTCCTTTGTCTCTTTCGTCATTGCTTTGCAAGGAGCAGATGGCGAGCCTGAAGGAAGCCAGTCTCTATTCCTGATCTTCTCTGAGAACAATGTGGACATGTTGGCAGGGTTTTATTTTGGAGGGTGGAAGTCGGCTCAACATGTAAATAAAGAAAATAAAACTGTCTTGTTGATTCACGATACACAGCACATGACGTTCCCGTGTGAGACTTTAGAACTACCTACCCTCCATGAGGTTTTCAAAGCCTGTCATCTTTACAGAAGATCTCCAGGCCTTTGTTCCGTGGTACCACCGGGTGGGTTGCAGCTACCAAACTGTTGTTGTTGTTAAGTGCTGACGAGCCGCTTTTTGATTCACAGCGCCTCCATGTACCAGAGTAGAACTCCCCCTCAGGGAAATGTTTGTTCTTCATCTTTATGGTGAGAGATTGCCAGACCTTTCCTCCGCTGCGACACTGAGTGGCTTCCAGTTGTCGACCTCTCTGTTTGCAGTGAATCATAAATGATTTGTGGCATCCAGTGCCATAAAAAGGAATGTTTAAATTTTCGTTGTGACAGGGTAGCGATAGTGTTTCCCGAGGTCTGTTTCTGCAACATACAGGTCTTGGATCTCTGAAAGCTTTCTCTCCCCTACAGAGGTCTCGGTGGTGGAAAATAGTCACAGAGAGAAGTACAGGGAGAGAGCGGGCAGTCCTTCCCTTACCTCTGGGGGACGAGTGGAACACAGAAGCAGAATTCTGAGGGACGAGTTGTTTGTTGTCTGAATGAGATGGTGATGGGGTGGTGGGGAGCAGATCATTTTAGATGAGGAAACAGGTGAGCAAGGAGCTGGGGGCACAGGCAGAGACTTGAATCATTTTGGGGTGAGTGAGAGGGTGTAGGGTGTGGAGCAGAAAGTTAGCTGTGGATTACTGGGTAATTGTGACGCTGTGGGCTAATGCACCAGACTGCAAAGTCGTTTGAACCGCAAGGTCGGCGGTTCAAGCTCACCAGCTGCTTCTTGGAAACCCTATACAGGGTCGCTATGGGTCAGAATCGACTCGACGGCACTTAACAACAACAACCCAAATGTATTGCCATCTAGTCTGTTAGGACTCTTAGCGACCCTAAGAGGGTAGGACGGAGTAGAACTGCCCCGTTGGGATTCCCACACGGTAAACTTTATAGGATCAGACTTTCTTATCTCTCCCCCATAGAACGGGGGGTAGGTTTGAACTGCTGATCTTGCAGTTACCTGTTTGATGCTTCACCCACCACGCCACCAGGATGGTTTTGTTGTTTGTTATCAAATGTCATCAAGTTGGTTCTGACTCAGCAACCGAGGAGCGGCTGGTGGTTATGAGCCACCGACCTTGTGGTTTGAACCACGGACCTTGGGCATTGTCCCACAGCACCACACCAGGACAGTTGGGATGGCTATGTGAGGACAGGGACAGGTCAGGTAGGATTTGAAAGCTTCATCGTCCTTACAGATGGGTGCTGGGGTGTGAGGAAGAAGGAGGGGCTGGCCCTTCTCATCTTGAAGCATGGTGGGAATCTGGGGTAGCTCAGTATCGGGGAGCAGCCGTCGTACTGTGGGGTCTTGTGTGATGCTGTGATGTTGGAAGCTGTGCCACAGGGATTTCAAACACCAGCAGGGTCCCCCATAGTGGAGCTGCCACACTAGGAAAGACTAGGAAGAAAGACCTGGCTGTTTACGTCTGAAAAGTCAGACAAGGAAACTCCTGTGGAGAAAACAGAACATCATCTGACTCAGAGTTCTGGAAGATGAATCCCATAGGTTGGAAGGCTCTCAAAACACGCAGTGGCCCCCCACTCTGGAGTTCAGCCGATGAATGTGGTGAAGATGATGCAGGAAATGGGCAACATTTCCTTCTGTGATGCGTGATGGCACCGTGACTCGGATCTGCCTCCACAGCCTCAGCGACATCAGCATTCAGGGGTGGGGAGTGGGGTGAGGAAGGCCCAAGGAGGGTGGTGTTCAGCTGGGTTGGAAAATGGAAGATGGGTCGGCACCCCTAGTTTCAGGCCGTGTTGGAGCAGGTGCAGATAGGGAATCTCAGAACAGGGATGCGTTTCTCCTGTTCTGACGAGGTTGGTCCAGCGCTGGGCCTCACGAGTGAAGAGCGCTCTCCCCGCAGACCCCGGGTCAGAGGCAGGAGGCTCTGGGCACCTCAGCTCCAGACACAGCGGACGGGATTATAGTCAGCCCTCGAAGGCTGTTCAGGAACCTTTTCCTGTTTGTGTTTCTATTCTTTTCCGGATGCCTGCGGTCTGAACTCGGCTCCCTTTCCTCCTTGTACCCACCCGAACCGTCTGCAAACCAGCAACTGGGTGGTATGCATGTAGGAACATTTGTCTAAGCTCAGTGAGCTATTCCACACACACACACACATGCAGAGAGAGATTTGTCATATACATACACCACACATAGACAGTACATATATTTGCCACACAGACATACCACGCACATCATACACAAACACAGAAACTGCGCACAGACACACCCGTACAGTATAAGAACCAGCGGCTGGTGTGCTTACTGAGGTGATGGAGCTCAGAAAGCCGCAGCCCACACACAGACATATCACATACCCACACAGAAACACTACACATAGACACAACCCTAACCACACCCACACACAGACACATCACATACCCACACAGAAACACTACACACAGACACAACCCTAACCACACCCACACACAGACATATCACATACCCACACAGAAACACTACACACAGACACAACACTAACCACACCCACACACAGACATATCACATACCCACACACAGACATATCACATACCCACACAGAAACACTACACACAGACATCACATACCCACACAGAAACACTACGCACAGACACAACACTAACCACACCCACACACAGACATCACATACCCACACAGAAACACTACACACAGACACAACCCTAACCACACCCACACACAGACACACCTAGGCAGGGACAACACACATACCCTTGCACATACCTGTATGAACCCTTACCCAGACACAGACAACACACACAGACAGCAGATTCAGCGTTTGCACATCTGGTGGTTTCTGGTAGCACCTTTGTCGCACAGGGCCGTCAGAGCCCCAAGTTTACTCGGAAAGGCCTGTTGAATGTACGAGCTACATTCTGTGAATACAGGTCCATACCGGGATTAGAGAAATCAGCGTTCATTGGGATTTCAGAACACTGGTTTGGTGTTTTAATTTTTTAACTCCTCTTATCTGACTTTAAGGAGCTCTGGTAGTGTGGTGCTTACCAATCGGGCTACTAACCTCAAGGTCAGTGTTCGAAACTACCAGCTGTTTGTGGGAGAAAGAGGATGCTTTCTGCTTCTGTAAACATTTGCAGCTTCAGAATCCCTATATAGCATCACTGTGAGTTGCAGCTGATTCTATAGCACACCACCACCATAGTGTCACTAGGAGTATGAACCATCTTGAAGGCACTTACAACAACATATGTATACACACACACACAAAACCCATTTTGTTTCTGTTCTTAAAAGTGCCGTGGAGTTGGTTCCGACCCATAGCGGCCCTGTATAATGTTTCCAAGGAGCAGCTGGTGAGCTTGAACTGCCGACCTTGCAGTTCAAATGGCTTGACAGTCTGGTGCGTTAACCCACAGGGTCATGCCAGCACTCACTCATTCACACATTGTCTTTCTCTTTTTATATATATATGTACACACACAAGCACACATATATAGGTATTGTTGTTAAGTACATAAACATATATGCACATAGATACAGACGTATAAAACCCATTTTGTTTCTGTAGAGATCAGTGATTTCTTATGGGCAGGTGGAAATTTGCAGACGGTCAGCCTTTGAGTTGCTAAATGAAAGGTTGGACATTCGTGTCAACCTCGAGGTACCTCAGAAGAAAGTCCTGGCAATCAGCCACCGTAAACTGGTGCCCAGGCAGCTCTCCTCTCTCTCTCTTACACACACACACACACACACACACACACACGGGGTCGCCTCGCAGGTGGCGAATGGGGGATCTTGACTCTGTCTTCATCGTAGGTTCCTTGTCCTGGCAGGTTCTGGACGTCCCACGATGACCGCTTCCTGTACATGCTGATGGAGTTTGTCCCGGGCGGTGAACTCTTCAGCTACCTGCGGAACCGAGGCCGTTTCAGCAGCGGAGCGGGGCTCTTTTATTCGGCGGAGATTGTGTGCGCCATCGAGTACCTGCACTTGAAAGAGATAGTGTACCGTGACCTGAAACCTGAAAATATCTTGATAGACAAAGAAGGGCACATCAAACTCACCGACTTCGGGTTCGCCAAGAAGCTGGTGGACAGGTAAGGACAGCTGGTGCAGGGGGCAGCCGGTGGTCAGGTAAGTATGGCTCGGTGCAGAGGGGATAGTGGATGAAGGCCACGAAGGGCCGGATTCTGGGTTACACAGTGCAAGGACTGGTTCTTCACAGAGGACACCCTCACACCCCTAAAACCAGGACCTTGTTGTTGTTGGCTGCTGGCGAGCTGATTTCCAATTCCTGGTGACCCACCCCGTGTGACAAAAAAGCAGCACAGCTCCTTAGAGCTTCCTAGGCTGTGGTATTTCTGGGAGCAAGTGACCAGGACTTTCTTCTGCTGCACGTCTAAGGCAGTTTCGAACCTTGAAATTAATCAGAGTGCCTAATTCCGTATGTAAATACTGTTGTGTGCCATTGAGTCCATTGTGGCTCATAGTGCCCCCATGCGACAGAGCAAAACTGCCCTCTGTGGTCTCCTAGACTGTCACCTTTATGGAGGCAGATTGCCAGCTCTTTCTTCCCAGCTCTTTCTTCTACTACACCAACACTCGTTGGGTTTGAACTGTTGACCTTTAGAATAGCAGTTGAGGAATTAATCCCCCATGCTACCGTTCTGTGCGTTCACGTTGTTTCTGACTCGTAGTAACTCCATGTCGCAGAGCAGCACTGCCCCATAGAGATTGCTAGGCTACAACCCTATGGGAGATTGCCAAGTCCTTCTTCCGCTGCACGTCTAAGATGGGTTTCAGCATTTACTCCCCCATGTTAATGTTACGTGCCGTCCTGTTGATTCCGACTTATCGCGCCCACGCAGGACAGAATAGACTTGCTGCCACACTGGGTCTCCTACACTGTAACCTTTACGGAAACAGATTGCCAAATGTTTTTCCTGAGAAGCTGCTGAGTGGGTTTGAACTACCGACCTTGGGATCAGTATCTCATCAAGCAACAGTTTTGCCCCCAGGGCTCCTTGTGGTTCAGCCTCCCTCGTGTGCTGTGGTCTGGATTGTGTTTGTGATGTGGTGGGCCAGAACCCGCTCTTTCTACCCGAGATCACCACAGTGCCCATGGTGGGTTTCAGGACAAGGATGTCAGTTTTAAGGGTGAGCTAGTGTGGCACTGACTGCAGGGTAAGCACTGGACCGACCTCAAGGTTAGTTTGAACCACAAGATCGGCGGTTCAAAGCCACCAGCCGCTTCTTGGAAGCTCTGGCAGAGACACTATGAATCAGAACCGACTTGATGATAGCACTTAATAGCAACAAAACTGCAACCAAAAATAGTTGTGTAATGATAGAGATATGTATGATGTATTTGTAACTATTGTATGGTCTCAAGTGTGGCAACAGTAGGGAGGTGGGCCCAGGATCGGGCAGTGTTTCGTTCTGCTGTGCATCAGGTCGCTGTGAGTCTGTACCGACCCGATGGCCAATAACAACAACAAATGTGTCTGAATCAAAAGAGGGATGTATCAAGGTCTGATACATGCCTTATTAGAATGTCACAGAACTAATACATAAATATGAGATGGATTGGCCAAGTGGCAGCAAATGGAGTCAAGTGTGGCAGCAATAGTGAGGTTGGCCCAGGATCGGGCAGTGTTTCATTCTGCTGTGCATCAGGTCGCTGTGAGTCGGTACTGACTCGATGGCACCTAACAACAACAATAACATGTACTAGGGGACTTCAGAAATGTCATTGGAAAAATTCCATTATCTTTTCATTTCATTTTTCAATGGATTCCCACCCCCACCAACCTCCCTCATATATATGTGTATTTGCAAATATATATGGAATCCTGGTGTGGCGCTGTAGGGTGACCACTAGACCACAAGACCCTTTGAATCTCAAAATTGATGGTTCAAGCTTACCAGCTGCTCCTTGGAAACGTCCATACAGGGTTGCTATGAGTAGGAACCGATTTGATAACACTTAACAACCACAGTAGCTGTATAATGTATATTTATGTATAATATGTAAAGATGCATATAGATTTATAGAATATTTATATATGTATTTATACTCTATGTATTTTCATTTGTGTATGTATTTTGTGTTGGGACGAGTAGCTCTAACTTTGAAATAGTATAGTTGATATGGTTTTAGAACCATAAATAAATATTTTTTAAAGATTACTCACATATATATGAAGATGCTTCAGAATGTTTTTCTAAGAATTTTTTGAGGCCCCTTGGTATATATATGTATGTGTGTTTATTGGGAGCATGGTGGCTCTGTGGTATAAGTGCTGGACTGTGAACTACAAGGCCACCAGCTTGAGCCCACCAGCTGCTCCGTGAAAGAAAGATGGGGCTTTCTGTTCCTGTGAAGAATTGCAGCCTCGGAAACCCGAAACAGGGTCACTGCGAGATGGAACCGATTTGGTGGCACTTAACAACAATAACAACTTAACAAACAAACAATGTGTTTGTAGAAAAATCAAACTATATCCATGTATCTGTATAGCTTTATCATCTGTCTCTGTCTGTCTATCTATCTATCTATCTATCTATCTATCTATCTATCTATCTATCTATCATCTAATCTGTTAAATATCTATCATCACTTCTATTACATCTGTGTATCTATCTGTTTATCACAGCTGTCTGTCTTGTTTATCATCTATGTTATCTTTTATCTTTTATATCTATTATCTATCTATCTATCTATCTATCTATCTATCTATCTATCTATCTATCTATCTATGTCTCACCTATCACTTATCTTACCTGTCTATTATATCTTTCTGTCTGTCTGTCTATCTATCTGTCTGTCTATCTATCTATCTATCTATCTATCCTATCCTATCATTTATCTTACCTATTATATCTGTCTGTCTGTCTATCTCACCTATCATTTATCTTACCTATTATATCTGTCTATCTAACCTATCATTTATCTTACCTGTCTATTATATCTATCTGTCTGTCTGTCTGTCTACCTATGGATATAGAGATACAGAATCCTGTTGTGGCGTTGCAGGATAATGCGCTGGACTGTAAAGTCGGTTTGAATCTCAAGGTCGGTGGTACAAGCTTATCAGCTGCTCCTTGGAAACCCTACACAGGGTCACTATGGGTCGGAACCGATTCGACGCACTTCACAACAACAGCATTGAGGTGGGGGTTGGAAAGGC